CGCTCAGGCCCACCTTCACCCCCCCAGTGCGCTGCGCCACGGTTCACGACTGCTCTGCCGGCTTGGCGTACGCAGGTCGTCCGTTTGGAGTCTGGCGCCTCATCAGCGACTCACTTCCTGCCCATCGAGGTCAGCGGGTCCTGCGCGTTTCCCGCGATGGCCATTTGAATTCTGGTCATTTTGTCCAGTGCACGTGCCGGAGCTTGCAGTGCGCCAGCCAGTTCAGCGTCACCCAGCCTGCAGCCGCCGTCTGAGTGGGCCGGCCGGCGCCCCTGCTTTGCAATTAGCCTCGCCCGTGGCCCGGACGTTGCCTTCGCCGCCTGACCGTCGTCTGGTGGCCGCGACCAAAAAAGTATCTCCAGCAGCAGGAGGTGCAGTGGTCGGCAACTGCCCCGGTGTCGCATCGCTACCGCCGCTCGGCACTTACCTCGCCACAGCTGTGGCCTGCCCTGTGGCGACAAGGTCCATCTGGTACCGGGTGACCTCCTCCCGCGGTACCCACTTGAGTTCGTGTGCTCTCGCACCCCTCGGGCTCCGCTCCCCTGGCTGCGCGCCGCCTCGCCGGATTCGCCCGTCTGGTGACGCCGCCCCGCTCGGCTGACGTGTGGTCTGTCGCTGCAGAGCAGGTCACGACCTCTCCTGGCGTACCGGAGCCACTGAGCCAATTCATTCGCGTGGTGCATCAGCTACCCTGGCCGTTTGCAGTCAGCTCAGCCAGCTCCCCATCAGCCCGCAGCCCCTCCGGCGGTAGGTTATGAGTGCGGGCTCGGCCGCTGTGCTTTTAGGCTTGCGCGTTGCTAATTTGACAGGCCCGTGGACCGGACCTCTCAGCTCGGCGACTGCGAATCCGCGTCCGCCCGCGACCAAAAAGGCATTTCCACCAGCCTGGCGCCACTCATGCACTTGTTCGTGGTGACCCGCGCCATTTTGGCCGCGCGGCAGCTTGGCTGCTTCTCGTCCTCGTGCGTTCTGCTGCTGGCGGGCTTTTCGGCTTCGGCCGCCCTGGTTCCTCGCAGCCTGCCAACGCTCACGCCCGCACCAGGCACCAATTCGACTTCCGACTGTCGGTCCTCTTGGCTGCGGCCACCCTGGTACTTTCGCAGTTGTCCGGGGTCTTGCGCCTTTGCATTAATTTCTCGGTTTCTGTCCCTGGTCGCCGTTCTTCCGGGCTACCTGTCGCTTCCGACGCCTTGCATATTTGCACGCTGGCAGTACGCCTCAGTTTCAGCCAGCCCCCTCCACTCGCCGGTCCGCCGCTGAGGTGTTGCGTGAGGCTCCGCCTAGCCGCCTTCGGTGAGGTTGCGCCCCGTTGCTCCAGGTGAATTTGTCGCTACGTGCCCCGCTTTGACTGGACTCGCCGCTGGCGCGCTCGCCTGCGGCGGCTGATTAAAAAGTATCTCCACCAGCGCCTAGTCGCGGCCCGACTAGTGTTCCGGACGGCTTTCGACCTGCTTCGCGAACCCGCGGACCAAAAAATATCCCCACTAGCCCATCCAAAAATCATGCCCGTGAGCGTTGTTGGGACAAGGGGCGAAGGGACATGTAGTGAAACAAAGCGGGCAACTAGGGTGAACCCAGAGATTTATGGGAGCGAGGGGGTGGCCTTGGAGGGCCTCTTCGGGCCATCCCTGGGGCCCGCGTGGGGGCGAGGGAAGGAGGAGGCGGAGGAGGAAGAGGATGATGAGGAGGAGGAGGAGAAGGAGGCGGAGGAGGAGGAGGAGGAGGAGGAGGAGGGGGAGGAAAACTATGACGACGACGACGACCACGATGACGAGAAAGAGGGGGAAAAGGAAAATGAAGACGATGAGGGCAAGGACGAGGACGAGGACGAGGACGAGGAGGAGGAGGAGTATGATGATGATGATGATGATGATGATGATGATGATGATGATGATGATGATGATGATGATGATGATGATGATGATGATGATGATGATGATGATGATGATGATGATGATGATGATGATGATGATGCTGATGATGATGAGGAGGAGGAGGAGGAGGAGAGGAGGGAGGAGGAGGAAGAGGAGAAGGAGGAGGAGGGGGAGGAGGAGGAAGAACGATGACGACGACGACGACGACCACGATGACGAGAAAGAGGAGGGAAAGGAAAAGGAAGACGATGAGGGCAAGGACGAGGACGAGGACGAGGACGAGGAGGAGGAGAGGAGGAGGAGGAGGAGGAGAGGGGAGGGAGGAGGAGAGAGGAGGAGTATGATGATGATGATGATGATGATGATGATGAGATGATGATGATGATGATGATGATGATGATGATGATGAGAGAGGAAGAGGAAGAGGAGGAGGGGGAGGAGGAGGAAGAAGACGCTGACGACGACGACGACCACGATGACGAGAAAGAGGAGGGAAAGGCAAAGGAAGACGATGAGGGCAAGGACGAGGACGAGGACGAGGAGGAGGAGGAGGAGGAGGAGAAGGAGGAGGAGTATGATGATGATGATGATGATGATGATGATGATGATGATGATGATGATGATGATGATGATGATGATGATGATGATGATGATGATGATGATGATGAGATTATGAGGATGAGGATGATGAGGAGGAGGAGGAGGAGGAGGAGGAGGAGGAGGAGGAGGAGGAGGAGGAGGAGGATGGCAACGAGGACGAGGACAGAACCCTCAACATCGCCGCCTGAAGCCCTCTGAGGACTCTTCTGGGGGATCTTGGGGTCCTCTTGGGGCTCTTCAGGGGGGTCTTGGGGCCCTCTTGGGGCCCGCTTGGAGCCCTCTTGGGGTTCCCTTGAGAGCCCTGGAGGGCCTCTTAGGGCCGTCTTGGAGGCCATCGATCAAAAGGGAGAGGGGGGGGGCAATTTGCGTCGCCCTCTGGGACCAGCAACATCGCCTCGTGGGGCCCTTGCGGGGCGCTCTTGGGCTGCTCTTGGGCGCGTTTGGGGCCGTCTGGGGGGCCTCTTGGGCCCGTCATGGGCCTCTCTTGGGCCATCTTGCGGCCATCTTGAGGCCTCAAAAGTGCATCGGGTTGTCGCACCCTGGCGTTTGTCGGATGAACTGTTCACGGTCAAACTGCGTTGTAGGCCCCTCCGGGCTACAACAATCACAACAGCAACAACAACATCATCAACAACAACAACAATTACTAGCACGTGGGGACACTCCGTTCTCACCAGTGCCAGGGTTTTCATAGGAGGCGGGCAATACCCCCACTTTGTGGGGGGGCCGGTTCAAGCTCTACCAAATTTCCAAACGACTCTTCGCCACCACCCACACCCAGCTTCCCGCCCTATGACGTTCGGACACTTCACTTCGTGGCATGCGGACGACCGTGGCTACTATTCAGGGCCCCGCGGCCGACGACGACGGCGTGCGCGCGCGAAGAAAAAACGAATGTGTCCCGCATGGTATTATTTGACAGGGATGATGGCCCTGGCAGGTGCGCAACCGTTGTCGCAGAAGTTCGAAAAAGTTGCTCGCAAAAGCCCGTTTGACAGAAATGTTTAAAAAGTGTTGGGTTTCCTACGAATCCGCAAGAGCGCGCGGGATGAGATTTTGACAATTTTTTGTTGAAAAACCATTGGTTTTTTGATGTTTTTATGTTAAAATCGTTGCGAACACTAAGGTTTTGGAAGGATTTCGTCTTGCGCGCGCGAATGTCCACTTTACCTTATTTTTTGCAAGGGATTCTTGAAATTTGATTATATTAGAACAAGAAATGTCATTTTCTATTGTTTTTTGCAAGGGAAAGCGGATTACAACAAAACAACCGGATCCTGTACACACCCTCTTTTCTGAGGCTTCCTCACGAAAGTGATGAAAATGTAGCTGCGGCCTAGGCGGCGCAGGGGGGGCGCGCACCAGGGGGCCCAACAATAATTATTCTTTAGAATAAATAATGTTCAACAACAACAACGGTTCCCGCCGGATCTCACAGTATATTGATGAATCGCGCTCTCGCCTGTGACCTTCGAGCTCTTGCCTGAGACTTCCTGAATTTTTCTCAACTGAATAACCGCTTTCTCGCCGCGGTGACACTGTACTCTCGCCTGGGTCGTTCAGCCCGCCCAAACCTGCAGGGTCCGCCCACCTGGCCCGCCCGTGAGGTGCGCCCGTTCGCTCGCTTGGAACCCGCCCGCCCGCTGAATTGTCCCTGCTCGCCCGTCCCGCCCGTGAGGGTCTGCCCGCCCGACCCACCTGCTCTGATGTCCCGCTCGCCCGACCCGCCTGCACTGGTCCGCCTGCTCGCTTGCATGGTCGTCGTCGCCAGGCCCGTGTCCCACCCGCGACTCGCCCGCGACCTATCCCGTGACCCATCCCTGGACCCACCCGCGACCCACGCGCGATCCACGCGTGACCCGCGCCTGATTCGCGCTCGATCCGTCCGCGTTCCACATCCGACACCCTGACATGCTACCCACCCACGACCCATTCAGATTGTCGCCACCCAGACACAATGTAGTGGCCGCCTGTGGCAAATTATGGACAACTGGCTGGTCTGTGCACAGCAAACTATCATCGGTGCCTGCGGCAGGCTTTCTTACATTAGCTTTCGAACCTCGCGGCCCGCCAACGATCCTTCCTTGACCAAACCAATTTGTTTTGCAAAAAGATCTGCGCCCGCGGCGGGCTTCTGTGCTTCGAGGCTCGAGCTCGCAGCCCCAGCAAGGCAACCCGGGCACCCCTATCACTCTAGTCTGAATTTGCGGGGCTTAACGTTTTGTGTTTATGCTAAAGGCTACTGCTGGTGCTACCGCTCGTGCTAGTGCTAGTGTTCTTGCTAGTGCTAGTGCTAGTTCTAGTGCGGGTGCTAGTGCTAGTGCTAGTGCTAGTGTTGGCCTCGCGGTTGCTTATGATGAGGTTTTTAAGGACTTGTTTTTACTGTCCGTGGCAGTGCTAGTGTGAATGGTCGCAGTAGTAGTGGCAGTGACAGCTATAGTCGGAATACGGCTAGTTGTGGCAGCACCAGCAGCAGCCTGGAGGGGAGTGCCGAGCTATCTGTGGAAGTGCACCGCCACTCTCCAGCAGCAGCTTCCTGCAGACGCCGCGAAAGTGGAAGGAGGACTCCGGCCACGAGGCCATCGCCCTGGACGAGGTCGGCTGGCTCACCCCCAAGGAGCCGCCTCTGCTCCCCGCAGGCTCGGTGACGACAGGGAAACACGAAAAAACGATAGCAATGAATTTCTTGCGCTCAATACAGCGCATTCGGCTGCACATCCACACGTGATCACTGTACAACGCACGACAGCACGATGCAATATATGATGTGCACACTGCGTGATGTATCTGTCACATGGTGCACGAGATGTTGCATGACCATCATCTTGTTCAGCTTGTAGAAACAAGGCGGGGCCATGCGGGGGCATATATATATACACATATATATAGAGAGAGAAATATGTACATATGTATATATACACATGTATACAGAGAAAGAGAGGGAGAGAGAGAGAGAGAGAGAGGGAGAGAGAGAGGGATAATAATGAGACATACGCATATACAAATTTGTATATGTATGGATTTATACACACAAGGCTGCATTGGCGCTTCGCGCCATGCACCGTGGTCCTTGAAGTTTGGCGTGAAGGCGGAAGTCGTGGCGGACGGGAAGGAAGGTAAAGCAGAAACATCAGCGTTCACTCCTCGTTGCTTTGTCCGACATCGTCGTCATAATGATGGCATTCGTTATCCTTCCCTCATGTTTCCTCTTCCTCTTCCTCATTCTCACCCTCCCCTGCGAATTCTTTCCCGTCCTCTTCTGCTCTTTTGTGGAGGCTTCTCTTTGGAGAGCTTCTTGGGGGCCTCGCGAAAGTTTTGCATGTGGGGCCTTCTGGAGGCCTCCTGGGTGCTTTCGGGGGGCCTCTGGGGGCTTCCTCGGGCCACCCTGCTTCCAACTGCGGTCTCTCTGAACGACCGGGTCACGCTTTCGAATTCTTCGGGTGGCGTCTTGGGGCCATCTTAGGCGCCGTCATTGGGTCGTTGGGCCGTTTTGGGGGTCTCTTGGATTGCCTGGAAGCCTTTTCGGATAGTTTTGGCATGATTGTCGGGCCTCTTGGGCGGTCTCGGACGCCTGGCAGACCGAAGAACCTAGCGTTCCAACATCATGCAGAAATCATTGGAAATCGTTGTTTCTCTGCATTTCGAATGCTCCTAGCGGGTGCTCTGTGGGTCGTCTTCGGGCGTCTGGGGGGTGTTTGGGGTCTCTTGGGGCCTCGAGGGGCTGTTCGGCCGCCCTTCTGACTGGCTTGGCCCCGCTGCCTGGGCCCAGCAGGGGCCCCCAGGAGCTCCCCCAAACCCGGGGAACCTGTTGCAAAGGCGTCCAGGGGGCCCCCGGGGCCAAGGATCCAGGGTTCCCGTTTAGGGGGGGGGGGTCGCAGGGTCCCAGATGAGAAAATATGGAATCGGGAATATAGACACAGATCGAGGCATCGAGAGATACATACATACATACATACATACATACATACATACACACATACATACATACATACATACATACATACATACATACATACATACATACATACATACATACATACATACATACATACATACATACATACATACATA